GTACTCTGTGGAGGCTTGCTTGTGAAACACCTTCAATCGCTTTGGCTATGGCGGGTGTTGACATGGACAGCTTCTTGTATGCCGACCTCGTGGAGTCACAGAGCGACGAGGAAGCGGTATAATATGCTATCCTTTACTCACCTGACCCTTGCCTGTTTGGAAGAATGTGGTCGTTTGGAATGGCGTGTTGCATGTTTGTTGTGTATGCAGGCCTGGATTTCCCTCTGATGATCCGTAGGTGGCAACGGTGAAAACCGTTTTAGGGGTTTGCCACACCCTTCCTGCTGCAAATTCCGTCGTCTTCCGGGTCGACCTTTGAAGCCTCATTGTTGCATTGCTCACATATTGGCTGCATCTGTGCTGTTCCTCGAAGGCCTGAAGTCGGGATGAGCTCTACTATGTCATTGATTGCTATTCTAATCTGGCTACCTACCATCATTAGCCGCTAGTTTTTGCCTACCCCTTGTTATCCCATTTACGCTATGGGCTGACGATCTACGGTAACAGCTGAATGGACTGCCTGGGCTTCCTCCTCCGTTAYGTTTAGCTCTTGATACTATCTATGGACATAGTATGCCTCTCTTTTCCTCTCAGGACTTCTCTATTAACCAAGGTGTGGGCTCAATATGTCGAATCATATGCTTTTCTTTGTAGAAGGCGATAGAATTTACTCGGATGATGTGGCGGGGRCTTCCTGAACCAAGGGATGAGGACAACCATGGGCTTGCACCATCTTTGGTTTTGCCTACCCCTTGTTATCCCACTTACGCTATGGGCTGACGATCTACGGTAACAGCTGAATGGACTGCCTGGGCTTCCTCCTCCGTTACGTTTAGCTCTTGATACTATCTATGGACATAGTATGCCTCTCTTTTCCTCTCAGGACTTCTCTATTAACCAAGGTGTGGGCTCAATATGTCGAATCATATGCTTTTCTTTGTAGAAGGCGATAGAATTTACTCGGATGATGTGGCGGGGACTTCCTGAACCAAGGGATGAGGACAACCATGGGCTTGCACCATCTTTGGTTCATTGATGTCGGAGGAAGATTGATTGGCTTCGCCCCCTGCTAGGAATTCCTTTCTTCTGATTTTGGGGTCTGCCTCTTGATCTGATAGCCTCACTGCCAACTTATTGGTTTGATCTTCGATTTCACCCCGGGCCACACAGTGCCTCATCATCAGTCGTTTAGTCAAGCTGGAATATATCGTTGTTGTTTTAGGTACTCTGTGGCTGCTTGTAACGAATTAATAGAGCCAGGTGGGCTGTGCATCCTTTCAGGTTCTCTTCCCCCCCATTGCTAGCATGCTGTGCTATTCCACCATGCCCGATTGCCTCCAGATGGCCACAATTGGCATACGAGGGGACCCTGCGTGAGGTGTCATTATCACAATTGTTCTATGGTTAGTTTGGCAAGATGTGTTCAACAGCTTAGGACTGAGAGTTTTTCTTTTAGGATGATGGGTCTAGTACCTGCTTGAGGATCAACGGTACTTTCTATGGATAAGGGAAAGATGAGTGGCAGCATTCCTCCTGAATCGACCGCCGGGAGGACAAAATATTTTTTTAATAAAAGCAGGGACTCGAGAATTGGGTTGTCGATTTTAACAGGAGTAGTGGGATAACGGACGGTGAGCATATTCTCTGGCCACTATAGGGACAGAGTATCAACAGCTGGAACCTGGGGCCTTGCGGATTAAGTCCGTGGTGGTAACGAATGAACATTAGGACAAGGATTGAGACTCACATTTCGTGTTTTGTTTGTTTGTTTTCTTCCCTGCTGCTTTGGAAGCCGTTGCTCCTTCATTGGTTCGCTGATTTTGGGAGGGATGTATGGCGTCGACCCCTGCTAAGCTTGGCACCTTTCTTTGTTAATCTTCCTTTAAGGGACCCGCCACTCATTCGAGGTTGATGTTTTTTAGCAGGAGCAGTGCGGGATGGCGGACAGTGGCATTTTCCCTAAGCCTACTGAAGGATTGAAATAGCGTTACCTGGTCTAGTAGATGATTCCTGTGTGAATAATGAATGAGCATTAAATTTAGGATGGGACTCGTTATTTGCGTAACATTTTTGTCCGATCCCATCTTTTGCCTCTCTCAGGTATAACAGTTCTGCTCCATCGCTGGTTCGTTAAATTTGGGGAAAGATTATGTAGGATCGACCCTCGCCAAGGCTAGCTATTTTTCAGTCCTCGACAGGGAAATTGCCCCCTGGTCTGGTCATTTGAATTGATGATCTTAGCAGGGATAGTGGGGGATGGCGATCGGCGGCACTTTCTCTAAGACTGGCAGCTGAGGGATTAATATATTGATAACTGGCTTTGGTGATCTAGCGGATCAACTTTGAGGGGAATGATGAATGTGCATTCAAACGAGGATGGGACTCATTTTTTGTATTTCTTGCTTCTTTAAGGGTTTCTTCATCATTGGGTCGATGATTACGGGGGGAGGACTGTGTAGCCTCGACCCCTGCTAAGGTGTGACGTTGCTTGTTTCATCGATTCTCTCTTTTTCTCTCTTTTTTTCTCTTGGTCCGGTGCCCTTGTAATGGCGTTTTCCCGAACTATCGTTTACTCTTTGTTTTCCTGACCCCCCTGTGGTGTCCCAAGAACTGTCGTTTGGATGCTGTTCAACCACTCACGAACGAGCCACAGGATGTCCTCCCGATTTTTCTCAAGTCAAACGGTTGTTACCAAAAGCATGTTACATAACGATGATCATGGTCTCCCCCACTACTCGTGTAATAATCCTCCACAATTGACTGCCACCTGATGCTGACATATCGACATATAGAGGGGCCCTGCGTGGACTAGGATAGGCGTATCAGGTAGAATGTACTAGCTTAGCACTATGTATGTTCCGGAGGATGATGGGTCAATGCCTGCTTAAGGGGACGATAGCTATTTCAGAAATAAGAGAGGTACGATGAGCGGCAGCACCCCTTCTGGTCTGACCACTATGAGGATGATATTTTTAGTAATAAGTGAATGACTACACATCTGACATTTGCTCGATTTCATCTTTTTCCTCATAGTTTGAACATGTACTATGATTGTTCCTCCACTAGTTCATTATTTCGATGACTGAAATGCACCTTCGCTGTTATGATCCCCTTCCCCTTGTTGGCTCTTGTCAACCTTTTCCTCTCCACATTGTTCCAAGCCATACTTCATCCGTGATTGTTCCTGCCTCGAGTCCTCCCATGATTCCCCCATTACTCGCCCTCTGCCTCTGGAGCTTGGCACTTATAAACTCTCTGGACAACTGGCCCCTGCTGATGGCATGTGGGTTCATGACCTAGTGGAAAGATGTTTTCTGAGGAAGCGGAGCAGATTGGTAGCATGTCACGACATACACAATCACCTCCTGCCGATTACCACCTGTCTTCGGATGACAGTGGGGACGTAGATGGTGGAAAGCAGTCAACTCCCCTCGATCGGACTTTGTAGGTTCGACCAACCTCCCCAAGGAATTAGAGTATCCATCAGGTATCCTTCACTAAAAGTAGCCGCCGCCTGGTCCCCTTAAGATTTTTCAACAGATTCCGACCCTTGGAGATTATCGACAGCTCTCGCTCCGTCCTTGTTCTCCCCCCTTCCCCTGACTATTATTGCAATTCTACCATGGCCACGCCGCCTCTGGAATTAGAGGAGCTCCAGGACAGAATCATAGTAATCGAGAGGCATATGACCCTCCTCATCGATGCGCTGATCAGGAGAGGTGATCTACCGACCATCAACCCTGACTTTTATTATGAGGCACCCACTGAGGACGATGCCCGGGATGCCAGATCTTGGGCGGCATCATTATTCTCTGAGATTCATGAGGGGCACCGTGCCCTCTTACGAAGATTTGGGGAGATTTTGCATCACCATGAGATGCATGAACTCAGTGCAACACATCAGCTGATGCAAGCCAACCTAGCTCTTAGCCATGAGATCAACTTGATTAAACACGAGACACCAAGATATGCCCGGATGAGCCTCACTCACACTTGGTATCCTCCCAGATGGATAGTGAACTGCCTATTGTGCTTCATGTTCTACTCGGTCATCTTTGGCATCGCTGAGCTACTCCTGAATTCGGCCATATGAGAAGAATGATCTGAATGTTGATATGTTTTGTGTAATCACTTGCTTGCAATGGAAAGAAAGGAGCTTTTTGGCGGGATCATTGATTGAAGGTTGCTTGGCCCCATGAAATACACACATAAGCCCGGGTGCAGCCAATGTCTTATGGCATGAACGGTCGTATTGCAGCTTGCTGTGAGGTGCATTGCGTTTTGTGCCATGGGTAATGTAGGGTAACACACACACACCCACCCACACACCCACCCACACACCCACCCACACCCACCCACACCCAC